GTCCTGATGCTACCGGCTGACCCCTGGCCGGTATCGCCCACCTGCTGTAGCAGGTATCGCACCTGCTGGTGGGTGCAGCTCCCGCATGTTCCCTCGTTGGAGGCTTGAGCACGGATGTGGCTGCTACGGGGTTTCCGGTAATACTATAATGACAATAAAAAAGGCCTGAAAGGCCGTCCTGTCCAGATTTGACAGGTAACTGAATTGGTCGGGCTTCAAAGAATTAGCCTTTTAAAAAAAAAAAAAAAAAAAAAGATATGAGCACCCACCCCTAGCAGGCCCCCTATTGGTTCCATTCTAGCAGCAGCCACGACACCGATGCACACCATCACTCGTCATGGGGAGGCAAGCAGCTCAGTCTGCTGGGTACCTCTACTTGCTACATATCACTCTCAGTATGTGAGCTTGCTATCGTTACAATTGCATATATGTACACACAAACATCTACAATGTGCTGGGACGCTGGACCCGATTTCCAGCAGGTGCTGCTCCCCACCAATAGATGGAGCCTCCCTGGCGGTGCTAGTGGTGCCTGCTCTTACCAGCATCCCTAGCTTCCGCTTGGGTGTTTCAAAAAAAAAAAAGAAAAAAAAAAGGAAGAAAAATGTCTCGGAAGTACTGGTGGTTTATTATCGGATCTTGGACTCAAAGTTTTTGAAATTGGGATTAATATGTCCTGGCACACACAATTTTCGACATCCCTGCATGAGGGAAGATGTGCGGTCTTGTAGCCGATCGGCCTTGCCGAACACGTCCCCACAATTATCCCACCAGCATCTCTTTTCTTTTTTTCCCTCATGTTCACAAGTATTCCGATAAGCCTTGTAAACTTTGCAAGCTCTCAATCTGATAAACATAACCCTGTGGAATGACGCCGACCACAAAACCATTTATGTATGGATTGACAGATGACAAGTAACAAAATCTTTCAGACAACAATTCATATGACTCTATGTAAATTCGTCCGTGTAATTTGCGATTCATGCTGTGCAGGACAAATGCCAGATGTACCCAAGAGGGAAAAGATGGAAAACAAATGGAGCGTTGTCGATGAAAATGAAGACCCCTTGTATCCCCTTCGATGCGGTGTTCTGGACAACGGAGATTCATTTGGTAAAGAATGACCCAGAGCTTACACCAACCAGGACTATTGTAGACACATAGGACCCCCCAAAAGGGTGAAAAAAAGGTTACAAAAAGAGCACCATTTCAGCGCAGCTCTTGATGCCAGAGACACTTCTAATTCCAGGATTAATGCCTCATAGAGTATACATGAAAGTGAGCACCCTGGAACTAATCGTAAGTACCACAAGGCCCCTGAAAGTTGCTGGTGGCATGAAGCTGACTGTTGGCTTTGAACCACCACTATGTTTCCCAGCCATGTTTTCGAAGTCAGGGCTTGCATGCGGCTGCAACTTTTGGGGCTCGGCCTCTGGAGCAAAATGGCTCGCGGCACCAGCCAAAGAACGCCTGCGCCGATTCGTTTTTTTGGCACACAAGGGAGTACTGGTGGTTTAGACCACGCACTACACCACGGACTTATCAATGATTTGGCTGGTCCACACCGAGTCCTTGAACTGCACCAGTAGCAGCACGGTGGCCCTTTCGCGCCAACTGCCGACCGTCAACTCCCGATTCAGATGGTTGGAGTCTAGCACTGCAGTTTTTGTTTCAGGCCACTGGCCTCAAGTAAGGCTTGGGACTTCCAGTCACATGTGAATCAAAGTGTCATAGTACAGTTAAACCACCAGTACTCCGGGCCCTGGAGGCGCCTTACGGCGCGCCAAGCGTTTCCCAACTGCCAGTGGCGCACTTTCTTTCTTTTTTGGCTGGCGCCGCCCTTGTGGTCCGGTAGGCCGAGCCTCCAAAACTTTCGTAGGCGTCAAGTTGCATTTTCAGCAAGGCTGGGGCGGTGTACTGGCGGCTTAACCCGCATCTTATTCTATAGTATATCATGGGGAAGCGCTCAAATGTATGGTGTTTGTTATAGTTCTTCCCTGCATTTGAAACGAAGTGGCAAGGTCCAAATCATAACGGCGCATACTGACCGTATGGGAGTTGATTGCTCGTCCATGGGGGACAGTTGACTAAACAACACGTAAAACCAGGCTCAACAGAAAACAGGAGCTGGCAAACTGGTGGTTTAGGGATTAGGCTTCAAGTTTGGGGCTAAGGGACCATGAGACCCCGCAGGGCATCATGGACCTAAGCCCTAAAACCTAAATTGCAACCCCTTAACCAGTGTTGTCAGGCAGGGAGCCCTGGTGTAAATCCTGGAAGTGGAGTCTTGACACCCACATCCGAGGCCCTTAGGGTCTGCAGGGAGAGAGCCCTGGCTGCAGGTGGGACCCAGGGCCAAGAGGGTGGAGGGATAGTTCAAAGAGAACATTGACTCTGCCTGCCCATGCCTGCATATGAGCATATCCACATGGAAATCTGGAGAGAGGTGAACGTGGTGAGAAAACTCGTTGAAGAGTGGCCAACCCCAAAATCCCTGGGGACCCAGCCTCATCCATCCCCAGCCCTCCCCCAGCCCAGACCTCCCCTGTCATTACCGTCTGCACCACCCATGCTCCTGCCCCTACCCTCCACCACTGCCCTTTCTCTGCCAGAGCCTCTGCCCTGCCATCGCCCCTGTGACTGCTTGGGGCTGCTGTTGGGGTTATGCAGGGGAAGGGAAGAGGGGCAGTGTGGCATGTGATGATTTAAACCACCAGTACATTTGCCAGCTATTTTTCTCTGACGCAGCCGCATGTTTGCCACAAGTTTCGGGGGTTGGCCTACCGAGAGCAAAATGACTGGCAGTGCCAGCCGAAAGAAGGCTCACGCTGATTCGTCATTTTTTGACACACAGGGCGTTTCCAGGCTCAGCAAGGGAAGGGTCAATGCATTATTTTGGATATAGCAGGGCCCTACTTCAGACTTTCAGCCATATCTGTACAGATTACGAAATGAAATTGCTATTATTGATTTAGAAACAACACTTCCCGGGCCCAAAAACAAAAAAAGTGCTGGCGGTTTAATTTCTGTTTTGCACTGGCACAGATCTCTTCATGGGTCTTTTCGCTGCACCCCTTCAGGGTTCCGCCTATGTTTCGAATTCCATTTTGCTTGGTCTTTCAATTTTTTGCATGCATGGGTTACTATATTTTTTGTGACAATGAAGGGAAGGCAAGCCATTTGGGAATTCAATGCGACATTTTGTTTCCAAATACTTGGTTCGAGCACTTGCGCACTTTTTCATTTCTGAAACAATAGATGACCTAGACCGCCGCACTGTGCATCTGCTTTACGACTTCAGGCACTGTGCTTCCACTGATTCTTCTTTCCCGACTTCTTGCTTTCCCAGTATCGTGCCTATTCTTTATGATTGTATGCTTCCCGAAAAGCAGGGCAGGCTTGAAATCAAACCCTTTTTGTTTTTTAAGGAGCTTGCTCCAACCAGTTCGTGGGGAGCAACACGTGCTGGGAACCGGGCCCAGCGTTCCTTATGATGTTTGTACAGAACAAATGGGATATTGAGGCTTGGGCTGAAAACTAGTAGGCTTTTGTCTATTAAAAAATTGAAGACTAATTAAACCACAAGTACACGGCCCCAGCCTTGCAGTCTGAAACTTATCGCCACAAGAAAACGAGGCCGAAAGATCGAACGTTGGGCCCGCCATTGATAAATTCAATCGGCGGCCGCGTTTTCGTTTCGCACCTCCAGAATTTGAGGTGTCAGACCCACAGCCCAGGTGCCCATGTACTGATGCTTCAAGAGGGGAAAAAAAAAAGACTTTTGCTTCATGTTCGATCTCTAGATGCCTAGCAGTATGGTGATATCTTGGAGAGAATTAAGATCTCATTTTCTGATGCTTTTTGTAAGTTTCACCAGTGAGTAAAGTCAGGAGATAGGGCTGCTAGTTTTAATAGAAGTATCTGGCGGCCCAAGGTTTGGCTGAAGAGGCAGATCTCATTCTCTTGTTACTTTATTCAAAGTTATGGACCAGATTTATATGTATTAAGGGACGCTGGACCCGGTTTCCAGCAGGTGCAGCTCCCCACCAATAGAATGGAGCCAGTAGCTGGGCTGCTAGTGGTGGATGCTCTCATCACCACCGCTAGCAGTTCAGCCGTTTAAATTAAAAAAAAAAAAAAAAAAAAACACCTAGTCCCCCCTTGCTGACCAAACCACCATTCGATCCCCAATCCCCCTTCCGTCAAGGCTTATCATTAATGAGCCACCATCTCATTAGACGCTTGCCTTCCAACTATCGGGAAAGCATGACAGCGCTACTAGGACGTACGATTCCTTCACCTACGATCCACCAATTCACGGGTCCTCACCTCAGTTCTGAGGGTTGCTTCGGAAATTTAAGCTAATCAGGGAGAACGACGAAAGTCCAAAATTAGATAAGCGCGGAAGGGCGGGGCACGGGCAAAATTCCACCCGTTGGCTTAGGGACGAGAGTACAACTAATTCACCACCAACTAGAACCGCAAAAGACTGTGCACTAAGAGAAAAACGAAACTACAAATCTACCGCCTTTCCCGTGTCAGGTTAACGCCACCCTTTTCGTGGGGACGGGGGAAGGCAAGGAGACAAGGGACACTCTAGGCACTCAAATCGGGTCCACGCAGTCCTTTCGATCGTCCAGAAGTCTTGTCATCTGACGGAGGAGCGGGCGGGGGTACCCAGGTCCGGAAGTTCGCTGGAAGAGCTCCCGCGCTGCGGGAGAGGTCTGGGAACCGGGCAGACCCTTCATAGCCCAGCACCATTCTCCGCCACGAACATGAGTTCCCCAGCTGGCACCATCGATAATTGAACTGAGGTTTCCATGTGGCGCGGGCTGCGTACCAGGGAAGTACCCTCAAGTCCGTATAAGGCAGAATTAGCGCGGGGGAAGAAAATCGATCAATCAAAACAAACTCGGTTCCCCCATGTGGCACGCCCTAGACGGATTGTACAATTGAACCCGACCGGTCCGGAATAGCACCCTCCATACTTCCGCATCGCAGTAAAGCCCATCCTCGTCTGCAATGGGTCGCTATGGCGAATCGATGTGAGGTTCGAGCACGGGCAGTTACCCGCGCTCACATTCAGAGTGGCAAACCTCGACTCCATGCAAGTCTTGACTCTCCCTCCACCACCCACTCTTAACAATCAATAGCAAGCAGTTTCCCACAATATCGTTACCCAAATGGTCACCCAGTCAAAATGGCGATGGCCAGAGGCGGAGAGATCGGACGGATCACCAAAGTTCTCACGCCGGATGTCGCTGGTCGCTCGGCCCGCCTGGGTGAACAGAGAAATTTGACACGTGGCGCTTGCAAACAGGAAGGGGAAAAAAAGAGCGGCAATGATCTCACACGCACGCGAGGCGCGGGGATTGGCAGTTAGTTGGGAATCAAAGAGCGTCAGCACAGTCATGCATACAAGCAGACGCCCAACACCCAATGGCCCCGAGAATCGCACCCATGTGCGCAATGACAACAAAGACCCGCTTATAGTCTTTCCGCATCCATGCACCCGTAGACTTTCAGACATCGAAGCATTCAGCATCCATTGACACTCGCACCCAACGCCATGCACACAACTGAGTATCCAAATTTAGTTTCCGGAGCACACTGCAAATGGACAAAGCAACGATGGAGAAGTAGCAAGTCCCTTGCTATTCAGAATTACAACAATGCTAGCACTCCCTGTGCACAGCCACCAACACAACCGAATGCAAGCCAACCATAGCCACAAGGCCCTGCCGCTGGCTCCATTCCCGTCTCCACCACCACTCAGTCCCTCCAACTGCCTTACCCCAAGTCTACCGCTAATTCCACCCCGTGCCGTCACTCCGCCCGATCCTTGGGCACGTCGAGCCTGTTCGGCGCCGTGGTCTTTGCGCATAGCTCCCGCAGCATTGCAGCTGAAATCAAAGAGCGCGAGAGGAAGGAGCTGCACAAATTTTTAGTGTGGAAGGCGGCGGGGCACCAGCGGGTAAGGCGGGTAGCAAGGGGTGTAGACGAGGAGGAGAGAAGGACGATCGAAATGTTCGTACACTTGGGTTGCTCGTTCAAGCCGCATGCGTAAGTTCACCCTTGCAGCTTGATCCGGGCAACCCAAGTGATGACCAATCAATCACGCCAAAAGGACAGGGAGGGGATCAGACGAAAGGGCCAGGGGAAGACGAAGGGTTACGCTGAGAAACTGATGACCAATCAATCACGCCAAAAGGACGGAGGGGATCAGACTAAGGGGCCAGGGGAAGACGAAGGGTTACTAGAAGACGAGAGACAACAAGAAGGGAAGTTGGTGCGCGCTCAAGGCGGGAAGCGAGTTTGCATAGCGAGCAGGAATGTGAAAATGGCTGCTCGCGCACCTGCTGTTGCAGGAAATTCATAACTGTTTCTTGAAATTCCTGTGCGGGCGTTAATCGGTCATATGCGGCTAATTTGAACAAGGTCAGGGGCAATATCAAAAGATACCCGCAATTGACCCACAAAAATTCCAAAACAGGCCCCGCTTCCTGTGATTAGTCAAGCTCCGTACTCCGAGGCTTACTTCGGGTTTTCGTCTGAAGGGTACGTGAAGCCGTGAGGCACGGAGCTTGGCTTATCACAAGCTCGCGAGAAGATCCATTCTCGTTTTGCACATTTGGAAAGTAGCGGCCCCTGCCCTCCAAATGTGCAAAACGAGAATGAATCTTCCCGTGTTCTCACAGAAGATTCGTTCTCATCTTGCACCGTTGGAGAGCCGTGCGCCCTCCCTCTGTCTTTTCGAGCGCGCATGGGCCCTGCTCTCTCTCTCTCTCTCTCTCTCACACACACACACACACACACACACACACACACACACACACACACACACACACACACACACACACATATCATCAAATAGAGCTTCCCGGTAAACAGTAGGCAGAGAGGGAGACAAGGACAACAAACGAGGGGCTGTGACAAACTGTTTCGTCGGAGTTTCACCGACTCGCCTGTGCACAATCGCCGCAGGCGAACGTGACCGCAGTACTATGCAGATTGTGATCACCATCAGCAGCAGCAGCTGCATCATCACTCTGATGTGAGAAAAATAAGTGACCACTGTTTAAAAAAAAAAAAAAAAAAGGCAGTGAACAAGAGACTGTAATTTGGGAAAAAGAGACAGAAACAGGAGGGAGAGACCTCAAGTACAAAAACTGTACAACTCTTTGAAGCAATTTCAGCTCACATACAACACCTTTGAGAAACCTTCAGACCTCTCATGACAGTTGACACCTGGGATGGGGGGAAAAGACACCAGTACCCGCAAATGTTTTTCAGTGCCAAGCTTTTCTTGACCTTACCTGGCCACAAGTTTATCCCTGACTTGATGACTGTTATCCTTCTTTCCATTTAATTTTACGCGCACGACTCGCGATCTTTGCATATGTATACCGGGCCTCATTTGACTCTCACAAGAGTGAAATTTATCATCAACATATAGCCTGAGGCCAGGGAGGTGTTCTTTCTTTTTCCTTTTTATCGTTAAAACACCAGTTCACACGAGCCTAAAATGATGAATCTACCTTCCAAGGCACACGAACCTCCAACGGGGACTTTTCATAGTGGCCTTCCACCTTCACTACCCGCCCAGGCTCGAATCGGAAAGCACCCACTATGTATACCGGTTAGAGATCAACTTGGGGTCAAGTTAACTGGCGGTTTAAGGAACTCATGGCGCACGTCTGAAACAGTCCTTTCACATCATAGTACTCTGTGATTGCACTGTTCCTATTCTCCCACTCTCATTACTCTTTGATATCCACGGTTTGATGTACTTTTGCTGGCGCAGAAGAGATAACCAACAATCCTGTGCTGGCGCCTTTGCTTTTGAGTGAATGCATTGTCATCAGTGTCAACGATTGGCAGTCGTCAGAGTTCCATACGAGCATGGAGTGGGAGCAGAACCGTGCAGCGAAAGCGCAAACGCCCTTAATGTCAGGCAATTCAGCTTTGCTTCAAACAGCACTGACCATGTCAGCAGACAACAGAGGGCATCGTGGGGAGAAGCTGGAACATGTGGTGTACGTAGTCAACAAAATTATTCTTCGGCTCGATATCCTCCGACGTCCATCGCCAAGCTTCTTGAGACTGGCAGGGACCATCCCTCCTCAGGACCTCGTCGTGTGTTTTGGGACACACTATCGGTGTGAAGTGCACATGGGTGGTGAGATGGTGTGCAAGCATACGGAGGAGGAATCGCAAGGATGCAAGACGGGCACTGTGGCGATCGGGTGGCCGAGTGGACCTAAGGGTCAGCAGGCTGGAATATCTGGCATGGTCAATGACATGGACCAAGGGACACGAAGGGCGGAGATAGTGCATACACGAGGAGGTACATGGTGTGGAAGCATTAGAGAATGGGTGCAGACGGTTCATCATCAACGGGTGGTCGTGAAGCAGAGGCTGAGGCCACTGTGGGAACTCTTGCATCAAGGAGTTGCGCAGGAACAACTGCGCAGGTATATACAGGACATGCAGATGAGTCGAAAGCCAAGGATATGGAAGGAAGTGATAACCCACCATGATGAGCAGGAGCAGAGGTCCACAGCCCCTTCAAGACAAGAAGCAGCACACCCTCAATTCATGTCGCACGTCCTGAAAGGGGACAACTTGAACTGTCTCATTGAGAAAGTGCGTGTGTACCATTCACAGACCCCTGGACCAAAACCGGGCCGGAACGCAGCCTATGAAATCCATGATGTCAATCTCTGTTCTGGCATGGAGGCGTATGCCGACTTCTTGCGTACTGTGTTGTCCAATTGCGATGACGACACTGTGCTCTCTAGAGAATCAAGCATCCAGAGCAGTTTCCAAAGCGGTGGGCAGCTGCATGGTGTGGTCACAAGGGTAGGAGGGCACGAGGAAGACCGCGGAGGAGGGGATGCATGCCCCAAGGCCTTGAATGTGTGGACATTTGGGGTTTTCAACAAGTCCTTGGGCAGGCCTAGGCCGCGGCTCGATTGTACGGAATACACGCTTGAAAAATGTGACCACATTGTCAGGTTTGATTTGTTCACGACAACGACCAACAGAAAGGAGAACCTGGTTGGAGTGAAATTTTCCACTAAGTGGGGAATGCAGGTTTTGGTTGGGTCCTCGACGGGGTATCATCGTTGGTACCAGGCACCCTCAGGTTATGCTATTGTAAGGGTGGAGATTGACTGGGTACGGCAGAGGAAGTCAATCAGTGGCAATAGCAAGCCTATTCTCTATGTTCTGAAGATAAATGTATTTGTCTCTGACCAATACGGTGATGATCAGAAGTTTGGTCGAGGCCGGGAAATTTTCGATTTTGACGAAGGTGGGAGCTTATCAGGACAGGTGACGGTAATGAAGAGTGCTCCGTTTGATCAACTAAAGCAGGCAGCTGCACGAATCTGGCTGCTTCAGTTGATCAATGGTGTTCTCATGCAGAACAAAGACGTTTCGACAGCGAAAATGGTCCTTTTGAAAGGAGGTGGAGGATCTGGAAAGACAGCAATGCTGGCGCAGTTGGTGTTGCAAAGTAAGGCAAAGCTTCCGGGAGTGCCATCAGATTACCTGCGCATTGTTGGCTATCACTTTTGCTCTGCGAATGACCGGACAACACTTCGTTCTGGCTCCATGGTCTTCAACCTGATGAGAATTTTGAGGAAGAACCTCCCCTTATATGTGTGGGATGAGACGATGTGGACATGGACTCTACAAAAGTGCCAAGACCAACCCCACCAGGCTTTCAAGGACACGGTGATCAGGATGCTGAATCGCACAGGGCCAACACGAGAACCATTGGTCATCGTGATTGACTCAATAGATGAGGCAAGTCTCGTTGGTGGGGAGAAGTCCATATGGGAGGTGCTGGTGCAAGGATTCAAAGATCTTCCACCATGGTGTTGTGTGCTAGGGGCATTCCGGTCTAGTATGGAGAGAGAAATAGAACACCGGTTGCGGAATCTCGTGCAGCCGTGCGTCGTCTGCATCGATGTTTGCAGAGAGGAGAATGTGCGTGATGTAGAGGAATATGTCACCATGCGGGCGTCTGAATTTTGTGCGAGAAACCCCACTGTGAGGTAAGTAAAACAAACATTGTCAAGTTGTCAACTCATTTGAGCATATAGGAGGCCATACTCACACTAGGCCCTCAAAGTCACAAAATTACAAAATGAGCGGCCAGATAGAGTCCTTGTAAAGGAGGACTCAATCTGGCCGCTGATTTGCGATTTGGTGATTTTGCGATTTTGAGGGCCTAGCGTGAGTATACTCTTAGCCAATTGAAAAGCTGAGAAGATGGTTATCTGGGAATCATCAAATAGGGTCTCAAATGCCAACAAGTTAACACCAACAGTACTTCTGAGGCACTTTTCTCCGGGGCTCGAAACGCGCTTCGCAACAAAAAAAGACAAACCGGCGTGGCCCTCCATTTGGCTGGCGCCACCAGCCATTTTGCTCGGGAGGCAGAGCCCAGAAAGTTGCGCTGGTATGCAAGCCGCGTATTTATTTTCAAAGCGGGGAAACGTACTGGTGGTTTAATGGGTTCAGATCAGGTGCCAGGTGGTATTCCCTTGTGACACAACAACTGAGCGATGGAATCTTAAACCACCAGTACTTGGCCCAGCTCTCGATGCCGACCCTGGAATGCCCCTGCGCGCCAATTTTTGCCGAAGCGCGGGGGTACCATTTCAATTTTTTTTTGGCTGGCGCTTCCAGCCATTGTGGTCCTGAACCCAGAAGCCCTAAAGGCGCGGCGCGTTGACGGGGAAACCCCGCGGCCGATAGCTGGGCCAAGTACTGGTGGTTTAATATCTTAGCCACTGTGGTTTCCATGGATGTGGTGTATGACGCATCACAGGATGGAGCCTGCAGTCCCTTTCTCCGTTTGTTCTTGTTTATTACACCAGTTCATGGCCCAAGGCAACTTGAGAATCGAAATCGGCTCATTCCAAAAATTCCAAGATTTGGGGCAACCAGACCAAAATGGCTGGCAGCACCAGCCAAAACGGCAAAAAAAGGGGGGGGGAGGAAAAAGCCACGCTGGCCTTTCAGCAAAACTTGGTGCACAGGGGGAATGCGCCTTGTAGCCTTCAAATATTCGGTTGGCATAGTCAGTGATTAATGCTCATTCGAGCGATGTATGTGGAGCCAAGGATCCGCAAAGTGATGAAAAGGACTCGACTGGACAATGCAGTGTCAGCAAAGCATCAACAAGCAATGTACATCCAGATACATACGAAAATAGCATAATGTAGCGTAACGGAGGACTCAAATATATGACCTGACCTGTCAGATGCTGACGCGACACCCCATCATACACCACATGTGAGAGAGAGTGGAGGGACCGCATCAATGGAAGAAGGTCCCTCCTTGAGCACACGCATGGGGAGATACCACGGATGAGGAGATGGGGAAGAGGCGAAACGAAGATGGAGGTGAGGGAGAAGACCAAGATTTTTATTTTTATTTTTATTATTATTATTTTTAATTTTATTATTATTATTTTTAAGAAGACATGCTCCAATCTATTCGTGGGGAGCAGCACGTGCTGGGAATCGGGCCCGGCGTCCCATATGAAGACATGTAGAAAAGATTTATGAACAAATTGAAGTACCGGGGTCATTACCCGGTTTCGGCTTGAGAGTATCCCCTCCAAGATCATAAACAAACTGCCGAAAATCGGGATAGATGATGAGAAAACTATGAATATAGATGATGAGAAAAACTACGAATCCTTTTTTACGATCGCTAAACACCTCCTGAAATCCACCCACAATTCTCCGAACACTCAAGTATCTAAGGGAATTCCAGCAGATCATAACAAAGCTCACCAAAACTGACTTATTCTCTGACAAACTCATCCAGGCCTCACGCCCCCTATCCGCTAGGTTACAGAGCAACGCGACTCACTCCAGCTCCGACCAGTGTCGTCCTGTGTCAGCAACCCCCAGCTGTCCCTTAGGATGCCCCCGCATAGCATCCCCAGATCTCTCTACAAGGCCTCATGCCCTCACCTTCGGCAAGT